GAAGGGAAAGAGGGAGGGGGGAGGGGGGGGATCATTTTCGTTCGTAAACTTCTAACCAGCTTTACAGTGTAGAGCGTGATGCTATCCGTAATCGTAATCGCCCTCCTTGCTCCGTGATTAGCGGTCGTCAGTCCGGCAGACGTCGGCTGCCCTCCAGCCGCCCCCCCCCCCTTTTCAGTTCACACACACACACACACAGACACATTATGTACTGTACACGCGAGTGCATCGCACACTTGCGCGAGTGGCGCCAACTATTTTTATTTTTTTTTACACTAATTTTACACTAATTTCTGTCGTGACTCCCAAAACGAAGCGTCGCGTTATTGCTGCGCCCAAGGCACGCCCAGTGACGCACCTCTTCTGGGTCGGACCCGCGGACCCCGTGGCACCCGCAGGCGAGGCATGCGAGCAGAAACAAAACAACCCGCAACCCGCACCCACCGCGGGCCCCTGGCTGCCGCCGGCCGGGGTATTCCCCGTGCCGGAGTGGAGCAGGGCGGCCGAGACGGGCGGAGCGGTGAGGGAGCCCTGCCCTGGCCTGGCCTGCCCTGGCCTGCCCTGCCCTGCCCTGCCCTTCCTCCGCCCCCTCCCCCTCCTTCCCGCCCACTCCCCCCACCTCCTGTTGCTCGCTGGCGCCGGCGGGTCCAGACGACCGGGGAGGAGGTCGGCGTCGCTGCGCAGTACGTACCGGGGGGAAAATCGCGGACGCCAAAACACAGAGAGAGGAGAAAGGAGGGGGGGGGGGCGTCCCGGGAAAAACCTCTCGCAGCTCTTGAGAACAGCACGCCAAAAAGGCGCCTTCCACCGACAAGTCCCCTTAAATTACTAGTTGAGGTCGCAAGTGAGATAGGGAATTTCACGCCTCGTCTTGTGATTACACCGAAAAAACAAGTATAGTGTGTGCATGTCGCACACTTTGGGAGGTATGTGGACGCCATTCGTTCACGTAGAGGCACACACGTGTGAGTTCTCAAAGGGCAAAATCACACAAGTTGTACGAATGGGCATTCACACACCTACCTACAAGTGTGCGACATTCGCACACTCCCAGTGCCCACACCTTTCTCTTCTGACGACACCTCCTACACCTCCTAGACTCAACATAAAGTACAACACGTTTGGTGTAATTTGTCTTCTGCCGTGTGTGGTTTGGGAGCGTCCGGCCGGACTGATTGGCAGTCCGCGCTGCCAGCTGGAAAGGCACGAAGAAAGAAATGAAAAGAGAAGAGCGGACAAAAATGCGAACGCGTCATCAATTGCCTTATTTCCTCTCTTCTTTACGCTCTCGTCCGGCACCCTCTCCCTCTCTCGCTCTCCTCACTCTTCCGCTCTCTCCCTCACACTCTCTTTCCTCTCGGTGTTGTGGCGTCTGTTCGGCGTCCACCGAAACCCGAACGAGCCGGGCCGGCAGGGTGGCGGCGTCAGGGCGGCGCGGCCTGTAACTGGAAGCCCCATCCAACGCCGTCGCATTTTCCTGCTCCTCCTCCTCCTCCTTGCCCTCCTCATCCTCCCCCATCCTCCTCCTCCTCCACCTTGTCCTCCTCACCCTTTTCCTGCTGCTGCTGTTCTTCTACCTCCTCGTCCTCCTGTTCCCCCCTCTCCTCCCCATCCTCCCCCCCTCCTGCTGTTGCGGGGCGAGGGCTGAGCCGCGTCAGGGCGTCAGTCCGGTGCCGGTGGTGACCATACACGTACCTCGCCGTCGCCGTCGTGCGCGCGGCAGCAGCGCGTCAGCTCCTCACGACCAAGTCCGCAGCGCTCGCCGCCGACCCCAAGCCGGCCGACGACGTCCACGAGGCGCGCCGCCCCTCCTCGTCACCGTCCACGCGGCGTCCAAGACCGAGCACCTCCCCGCCGCGCACCACCGCGCCAGCCAGAGGCCCAGGCGGGCTGATCGATAATCCGGCAGTTGTTGTACCTCGGCAGCCATGACCGGGTGAGCGACGAACCTCGGCCGGAGCCAGCTCCGCGGGGAGAAATTAAAATCCATGCGACATATCAGATCGCCATCGGCACGCGGTACCAAATCTGAGAGCTGTTATCTCTGGGAGAAAGAGGAAAAGTGTTCGTCACGGCGGGAGAGAAGTTGGCGCGGGCATTTTGTTAGAGTACTTCAAACCAGTGCAAACCGGTAGCACGTGTGTAATTGAAAGGAATTAAAGTCGCTACATTCTAGGGTTGCTTATTTACGACTTGAATACCGAAACACTTTTAATGTGTTGGGAGGGTCTTGGAACTGGCCCACCCGTCGTGTCGCAGGCGGCTTCAGAGCGGGCATTGGCGCGGCTCATAAGACTCCTGCCTGAGGCTGGACGCTGGACCGGCTCCCCCAAAATTGCATATTCTGTCATTAATGTACACCATCCAATTTTTCTCGGATTGATTAGGGATCAGAAAGTACACGTCCGCCATTCGCCGTCATATCACGAGGCAGCCAAGTTGAGTTCTGCCGCTGCAAGCTCTCATAGCGCCTGGCGGGTTAGGCAACATCTTGCCTGCAGTGCATGCGTGTACCGCGGGGTGGCCTACGCCGCGTTTTGCAGGCGGCGAGCTCTCGTGTAGTTTGCCGAATGAATGAGAGAAACACAGATGTACTTTCTGAACGACCCCTTGAACAACGTGGCAACGAACGACAGGGTGAATCGTCGAGTTGGAGGGGAGATACTACGTCGGGCTGAACAGTCGACACGGCCTGGCGGAGGGGCTCGTTTTAGCCGCCGCCAACAGCACACTTGTTTATGGTGTTTGGTTTACAGTGAAGCGCGCCCGGCTCGAGTACAGACTGACGCAGACGTCCAGCCCCCTCCCCTTTACCCTTGCAGATCGGTATTCTGCATTACGCTTAGAGGGGCGTGGTCCCCTCTTGCCCCCGTGCTATAAAGGGTCGATGTGAGGTCACGCAACAGTCGCCAACCCGACAGGTCACCCCGTCCCCAGGCCGCCCTGCGAACTCTTTGGCCAGTTTGCGAATGGTCGTTGTTGCTGTCCAGACCCCCACAGCGACGCCGCGCCGTGTTATAGGATGATGATCACCGTCTGTCCGGCCGCCGGGAACAAAGCTACCGGCTTGGACTCGGGCGGGGACGAGCGGGAAACCATGGAAACTCGGGTGGGATCGGCAACGCCGGTTAAGCAAAGGTAACGATGGTGTAGTAGCACCTATCCGACAGAGCGTGTGTTAGTCCGGGGACAAGAAGCGCACTAGGGTTTGGAAATTTCCAAATTTTCCGGAAAATTTTGGAAAAATTCCAGGAAATTTCCGGAAAATAACCAAAAACTTCCAAAGTTTTGGAAATTTTCAATTTTTTTCCCGGAAATTTTCCTGGTAACTTTCCAGGGCGTCCAATCCTGAATAGCACCCACCGTCAGGCTGACAACTCTCCAATGGACAGCGAGAAAGTTCTCCGCCTTTTGTCCGGGTACGATGTTTCCAATGCAGTCGACGGCACAGCACGCGAAAATTTTGCGCTTTGTTGGTCCGTTGCTGTCCATCGTGCGCGAGATCGAGCGACATACGGCGATACCCCGCGCCAGACCGTTCCCAAGGTCACTCATTTGCTGCTGGACAAGCTCGCTCTCTCTCTCTCCCTCCACACACACACATGCACACACACACACACAAGTTAAGTGGTAGGGCTGTGCGATATGATATCGTCCACATATCGCACATCCACTCGATGAATCGAACTGCGACAACTTTCGTCAAAGCGACGGGACGGGCACACAAAAATATGTGTTCTTAATTTGACTATCGCACTTAAAATTTTTAGCCCCATGGGGGCATTTCTTGTTTTGAGTCCTATCGTTCCTTAAAACAAGAAATGGAGCTCAAAATTTTAAGTACGATACACTGGAAACGCAAGTGTGTGAATGTCGCACACTTGTAGGTGTGTGAACATCAATTCGCACACTTGGAGGGGTAAACGTGAGAATTTTCTAGGAAAAATTCACACCTTTACCCCTCCAAGTGTGCGAATTGATGTTCACACACCTACAAGTGTGCGACATTCACACACTTGCGTTTCCAGTGTATTTGAATTGAGAACACACGCTCGATGACAATTGCCTTATACTGGACGGCTGAGCTAACGCGCGTTCCGAATCTCTCTCGTTTCAGACCAGAATCTGCGATGGAGGCGGGCCGCACGGGAGCCCCGCCGGCCTACAAGTCGCCCTTCCCGCAGAGAGCGACGTCCTGGCTCCCCATCGTGGACCAGGGCTGCTGCTGCTGCACGCTCCGGACCTGCAACCTGGTGCAAGGCTGGATGTCGCTGGTGAGTTAGTGGCGGCCCCTCGTCAGTGTCCATGTTCTACCGACCGTACACATTGTAAAAAATGTTTGTGATGACACATACACACTGTTAAAAAAATTTCTGTAATTTTACAGGAAATGTTTAGCTAATTTTGGGGGCAAGTGGTGTCGTAAACTATTTTTACAGCGCAGTTGTAAAATTACGACAAATGCCATGAAACCCAAAAAACGTTGACACCTTTTTTACGTTTTCAAGGTAGCGCTGTAAAATTACAGAATAGCTGTCAGACTACAACATCGGTTGTAGAATCCGCCATCTAAATATTTCGGATATTATTATTTTTTTTCGTTTTGGTATGATAATTTGCGTGTTTCTCATGCATTTATCGTGAGTTTTTTCCTCGTTTGAGGACTTTCTTTGCAACTTTTGCACTTTGCAAAGCAGTTACCCACGAAAAACCTGTGGATTTGTAAAAATCAGGATAACTTTACAACCGCGCTGGAATTTTACAGTGCCACCATAGTTTTACAGCTGTGTCAATAAATTACAGCATTCCTCGTAAAACTACAGCTCCAACCAAAATCGTGTTTTACGGATAGGGCTGTTTTTTCCCCAAAAGCCTGTAAAATGTTCAGCTGTAAAATTTCGATATATTTTTAACAGTGCAGTTGTTGAAAAACAACATAGTTATTGTTTTTGATGAATATGTGTGGATACAGAGTTCACGAAACGCAAGCGTGATTTTCACGCCAGGCGTGATTTTTCACGCTTCGTAAGCTTCACACAGCCAATTAATAACCGACTTTCATCACACCTGGCGTAAAAATCACGCCTAGCGTGAAAATCACGCTCGCGTTTTGGGAACTCTGTATCCACCTTAAAAAATTCCTTGTTATATTACAGAAAATTCGTAACTAAACAATACATTATGCAACAAACACATTGGTTGGTTCTCCAACAATTTTCTTTTGTTGCAATTTTACAATAATTTTTGTACCACAACAAATCATCCATCAACAACATCATCCATCATGAAAATTAGCAAGAAATATGTTGTAAATTTACAACTTTAATTTTTACAGTGTACGTTAATGCCCTTTTGTGTCGTTTCGCAGATTGGTGGCGTGGTGAATATAGTGAAATTAATCTACGCAATGTGCGTGCCGAACATCATGAAAAGGGTCTGCGACCAGGTAAGTCAGGTCGGAGGTCTAGTCAGAGTCAGTCACAGTCAGTCAGTCACAGTTAGTCAGTCACAGTTAGTCAGTCACGGTCAGTCAGTCACAGTCAGTCAGTCACAGTCAG